CCGGGGGGAGCAACTGTTGGTGTTTGTTTGTAAAAGCTGTAAGCAGGGAGCAGGAGGATTCTGCCTGGTTTCAGGCTGCTGGCGTCAGCCGCCAAGCCGCGGCACCGCAGGCCGCCCCCGGGCCGCATGGCCCTGGAACAGAGCCGCTCTGTTTAACCGGGCCTGGTGTAACAGGAATGGGCCACGAACGGAGCATGTTGACTCTCAGCTGAGGCAGAATGGAGAGAAACGATCCTCCATTTTAACACTCTGCACACACAACGCCCTCTAATTACTGTCGCCATGGAAACCAGACGCCAAACACCAGCAGGCTTCAGCAGCTATTACTGCAGCAATATGCTAATTCACCTGCTGTACCACCAAAATAAAAGCTGGGTCTTCCAAATTGCTTTGTCTCCTCTTCATCATCGTCATCATCGTTTCCTCTCTTCTGGTCCAACATTAAAACAAGCTGAGCCGTTTTACTAAAGATCTGCATCAACACCCAGCTTTTATTTTGATAGTCCACTTCCTATTCCCACATGTTGTCCTAGCTTAGAGCACAATATTTAGTGTGTAAGCTACATTTTTAGCTAATTCAGAGCGAAACATTTAACTAACTCAGAAATTGATTCTAATACTGGATTAAATTTCTCTGGTTGTTTTCATGCTGCTGAGCGCCGCCACTGTACCAACAGTAAAAGTAATCACATTATAGATAAACTTAAAGACTGAATCTCAAATAATAAAGATTCATAAGAAAAATTGATAAAGGTTCATAACAAACATTTAGATGTTTTACTTTTGTTTTTTTAAACCATAAAAACTGAAATCTGAATTTTCAGTCTTGTTTTTATGAGACGTGAACACCAGTTGTTTATTAAATTGTTCTAATCGTTGAATTTTAACCCGTTTATTTGTTTAAAAGTCAGTCTGCATTTACAGACAGAGGTCTAAAGAATAAAATGAGCAGTGTGCCAGAAACGCAGCAGATTATGGAGGATTTAGCGCCGCATATTACAGCGTGTTGACGTGTTCCTGTCGGAGCTGAACGCCGTGAATGCTGCGGGTTTTAGCCGCTGTGAACCCGGGATCGTTCTGATGAACACGGATGGGTTAGGGTTATGTTTGCTGCTGCTGTAACCGACACGAAGCTTCAGAAAGCAGCAGGAACGCGCCGATAATCATCAGGATTATTAATTAAAACTTTCAGATTGAAGTCAAGCAGCAGAAAATGCGCCAATATTTGCAGAGGCTCGGCTCATTAGTCTGAATCGATGATTTGGAGAAGTTAGTGTTGCAGTTAATTAGAAAGCGGCGGTGATGAGCAGCGGCTCATCCAAAGGCCGGCCAGGAGAAACCAGAACCCAAGATGGATGGCTGTAATATTCGCTCCGGCGTTTCGGCGCTCAGACACCGACATAATGAGCTGTCAGCAGCGGGACGCGACTTCCTGCTGGAAACCCAGTGATTAATGTTCCTGAGGGGCGGGGCTTCCTGTGATTACCTCTGGAAACTGGAAACGTCGTCGAGCCTCATGAACGTCTCCATGTTTACATGAAACGCCTCAAACTGATGGGTTTTTATGCAACAGACCAGTAAAAGTTTCAGGTTCAACTGTGAATTCTGATAAAACTGAAACTTTTTCACAGATCAGAATCTGAAAAGTGTGTCCTGCTTTTTTATTCAGCACCATCAGAACCATGTTTTCACACCGCACCAGCAAACTCTGGTTTGGTTTGAAGAGACGGCTCTAACAGCAGGAAGTGGACTACAGTGCAAGGCATTCTGGGTAAATACAACCAAAGCTAACATGCTAGCCTAGCGCTAGCAGCAGAAATGTCTCCTGGTCTTTAGCCTAAAGAGAAATCCTCCAACCGCTAAAATCTGATGCCTCCATCTTGTTTCCATCTGGTGAAGAAGGAAGTTGCTCTCAGCGTCTTCAGAGGTTTTTGTGTCGTTTCCTTCAGTGATTCTTGGTGCAGCGCCCCCACAGGCCAGGAGGGGAACAGGTTGATCAGAGGGTTTGGGTGGATGTTGTTGTTTTGGACACAATAGAACCAGGTCTAACGGAAAACTGCATAAAAAGAATCCAGGAAGCAAATCTTGTGCTCCTTTCAGAGAAGAAGGTGAAATCCTTTCCTCCTCATTTCTAAACCGGAGCGCCGCGCTGGTGGTCAGACAAAAGGAGCAACAGCTGGACAACGCTTAACAGCACTAAGTCCCGCCTCCTGGCTCTGATTTGCTGTTTCTAGCCGGCGCTGGGACAAATCAGAGGATCTTGAATCATCTCACAGATTATCAGTCTCATATCATCACAAATGTTGACAGTTTTAATAAATATGTAAACTGATGTTTTCTAAAAGTTCCAGCAGCTTTCAGTGTTTCTCCTCTGATGTGAACAGATTGTTGAGGTAATTGCTCCTGCCAGGTGTGTACTGAGTGTGTGTGTTTGTCGCTGCCCACCTCTTAATGCGACGCCTTAAGTGACAATTACAGGACATTACTGAGCTGGAAGACGCTTTCTCAGCAGCACTTCACAGATTTGAGATTATTGGTTTCATTATGAGGGGAATATGAGACTGTGATGCTTCCTCCGTTCGTTTCCTGCTGCCTGGATTCTCCTCAGACGCTCCTGCCTCAGGATCTGACATCAATCAGACAGAAAAAGCTTTGAAACGAGTTTGACACAGAAACAGACGACCACAAGCCTTTCCTCCAACAACGATGGCCGGCGGTGGCCTGGACGTTGCCATGGAGATGTGACTCCATGTCTCATGTCTCTGTCCGCTTTGATGCTGGATGTGAAAGAGACGCCGGACTGTCGGGCTTTTATTCAGGCTCTGGTTTCACATCAGAGGGTCAAAGGGTCGCCGTTGGTCTGAATGAGCTTTGGCCACCATGATGGAGGAAACAGTTTACAGAGACGAGATGAGCAGAAGCTACAGAAACATGAAGCAGGTACGCTAATGCTGCTCTGCTACGCTGGTTCTGATCAGTCCTGATTAATTGATTGGTTCTGATTAATTGATTGGTTCTGATCTGATTGGTTGAATCCAGAACATGTTGCTATGAAACGTCTCTGCTGTGTGGATGTTTAGCTGTTAGCATGTCATACAGCAGCAGTCTTCAGTCAGAGGCCTCTTCGGATCGGCTGCAGCACTGACTGCTACTGGAGCGTCACCATCAACTGTTGGGGGATCTGAGTTTATTTTCTGTTTGGGATAAATAAATATTCCTGAACTGAGCTGATCTCCATCTCTGGGTTCCTAAAGTATCGGCGCCTCGGCAGATGAGCAGAAACCTTTTACTACAGGAACTAAATCTCAGTCAGACCTTTAGTCTGAGAACATTTATTATAAATCTTAATACCCAGAAAATAACTGCGACCAGGAAACAGAGAGTTTGACAGAAATATTTTTTATTTTTCTTATAATTGTTGGGGATTAATGTCACAAAAGTTAGTAATGTTTTTTCTCATTGAAAAAATTAAATGTTGGATTTCTCTGTCAGTCTGAGACGATAAAACTTCGACTAAATGTTTCCTGTAAGGTCGTTTCTACCAGAGGCGACGAAATGAGGTCAGAATATTTACTTCCTGTTTATCACTGTAAATGGAGAAAGCCTGACATGTATGTAAATATGTGACCCCTTCCATTGCTTCAGCTGGAGATCTGATCTCTCCCTCAGGAGACCCACACACACACACACACCTACACACCCCACCAATAACACTACAAACCAGCTCCACTGAATCACCCAGGACTGATTTCTGACCCGGTCCACTTTTCTATAAACTCTGGTCCGGTTGGTGAGGTGTGAACTCTAATTGACCTCTGACCTCTGGTCCTCCACACCTCAGTCTGGGTTCGGTTTGAATGTAAACGCCAAGTGGACCGGAGACCGCTCCAGAAGCAGGAAGTGAACTACAGCGCAGGGCATTCTGGGTAAATGCAACCAAAGCTAACGTGCTAGCCTAGCGCTAGCAGCTGAAATGTCAGTGATGTTGGATAAAATGCGACGTTCAGACTTAAAAAGTATCAGATTTATTTCCACATGTGGAAGAGGCACAGATCAGATTTTGTTTTGGGTGAAATGATCAGAACCTGAATGATCGGGTTTAGGAAGCAGAAGGTTTCAGAACCAGAACATCTTGGATACAGTCTCACATGGTGGTGGTAGAGTGATGCTCTGGGACTGCTGCTTCAGGACCCGATGTTGATGATGATGATGATGATGGAACAATGCATTGTGTTGCTGCCGGTTCTGAATGTCGCATTTTATCCAACACAATTCAGCAGCAGAATCAGTAAATCCTTCCTCTGCTGTCGCTCTCAACAACTTTACAATCCATCCAGAGGCGGCGGCCATCTTTACTGCCGCAGCGCTGCCGTGTTCTTGTGCAGGTCGCTTTAGGGTCATTTTGGGGTCACCAGCTGTTCTCACAGAAGGTCATGTTGAGTTCATAACGGGATCGAAAAAAGAAATTAGATTTCAGCAAAAAAATCTGAAGTTGCGCATTAAAACCTCACGAGAGGACGCCGCTGAAGAACCTCGGGATATTAGCAGAATAATTTCATTTTTTATTCTTTGTTTTAGAAAATATTCCTCATGCGTTCTTGAGCTTGTTGAGATTTTTGCTGTTGAGCCGACTTCGTGCTGTCAGACGGGTTCTGTTTAGGTTTCTACGGGTTTGGTTAAATCAGAGCTGATGTGGATGAGCTTCACTTTGTCTTTGTGAGATTAAACATTGTTTGATGACCTGAAGCCTTTAACCTCAAAATGTCCAGAAGTCTTTAATCTGAACAGATTCATGAAGCCGAACATTTAACCCTAAAAACCAAGAGGAACCAGATTCTGGTGGGTCGGTTCGGATCGTCTGGAGCAGGGCTGCCCAAAGTGGGTCCTGAGGGTCCTGGAGGCCCTGGGGGCCTTGGGGGTCCTGGAGGGCCTGGGGGACCTGGGGCCCTGGGGGGCCTGGGGCCCGGCATCCTGCATGTTCTAGTTCTCTCCCCGCTGGTAACAACCTTTTCAGCAGGTCAGTGTTCTCCTTTGGCCTCTAACGAGCCGTCATTGGATCCAGGTGTGTTAAACCAGGGAGAGACTAAATCATGCAGGATGCCAGAACTCCAGGACCTCCAGGCTCTCCAGGACCTCCAGGGCCCACTTTGGGCACCACTGGTCTGGAGCTTTGAGGTGTTTTTGGTTTGCATCATGCATGAATGCTGCACACAGCATTTTCATGTTTCTGTTTGATCTTCGCTGCTAAAAACACAAAGAGGAGAGAAGCTGAAATGTCCCACGAGACGCGGCAGGAACAAACCGGATCCTTTACATCACCCCATTAAAACACCCAAAATAACCAACACACAACCAGAGCAGCGCCTCACACGCACACACACACACACACACACACACACACACACACACTCTCCTCATCAGGACTGAACCAGAGGAAAGAAACAGAGAAAATCTGACATCAGATTTCAGATGAATCCAAAACCGTTTTTCCACAGAATCCACCAGCTTACACACCCCGTTATCAGGTTTTTCTAGCGCACACACACACACACACACACACACATATGCGCGCAGAGCTGCTGAGTGGGAGTTGAAACTCACGGAGGGCTGGCGGTCTGGAGACAAAGTGCTGAGAGTGAATCCCGAGCGCCTCCTCCCCCCGGAACGGCTCACCTGGGCCCCCGCCCTGCAGCACGCTGGCTACGGCCCTGCCAGCCACACACACACACACACACACACACACAGAGAGAGAGAGAGAGTTAATTCAATTATTCACTCTGGATGCTTCTTTTCATCAAAGTGTGCGGTGCAGCAAAGTGGAAAAACTGAAACATGATCCTCACGGCGTTTTCTGCACATCCTCACCTGAGCCGCTGCAGCCGCTGCAGCCGCCGCTGCAGCCGCTGCTGCTTGGTAAGAACTCAGCGGAGCAAACTGCCGCCGCTGGACACCTGAACCTCTACACATTACTCTGCACAAGCATCAGCAGCATGGAGGAACGACCTGCAACTTTATTCAGATGTTTCCCAAAAACACAGAAGGTTCTGCTGGATCCTGGCAGAAAAACAAACCAACCTGAAATCTCAGCTTCGTTTATTGACGTCACTCCTCTGATTCTGTTTCTGGACGATAAATCATCCCACAGATTATCAAATAAAGTGAATCATAAAGTCTCTCTGCTGGTTGAGACCAAAACTTTTATCATCCATTTTCTGGTAGAAAAACCATAAATCATGGTTTATTGTGGGTTTGACTGAGTTGTTCAATCAATCGATCAATCAAATTGTATTTGTATAGCACATTTCAGCAGCAAGGCATTTCAAAGTGCTTTACATAATTAAACTAAAAACACTGATTATTGCTCAGTCGCTACTTAAAAAGCAAAAACAAATTAATTTGGTTTTTCTAGTAGAAAAATAAAAATGCATTTGAACTGGAAACCAGTGAATTAAACTCATTATTCTGCCAGAGATTAAAATCATTTTCCCACTAAATGAAGCCGATTGGATCCAAACGTGTTTTGGGGAAATGTTGGGACTCCGTTTCTACCGGATGGTTAAAGTTTCTCAGTTTGACCTGAAAGGACATCATTCATACATAAACAGGAAGTTTAAATAGTGTCCATAATGAACTTCCTGTTGGGTTTATACCTGATGTGTTTCTGCAGACAGAAACTGAATCAACCTGAATGAAGAGTGAAACTGGTCTAGTCCAATCATGGATGAAGAAACATGATGAATATTTCTAAATGGTTTCCGGGTGAAAACGTGTCTGGACAGTCCGGGCTGCCTCTCAGCTTCACCACCGGAATGTTCCGGTCCATTTGGGCCGGAAGTGAGGCGAGGAGCGGATCTCACCTGGACATGTTCTCCCTCTGCGGCCGGTGCGCCTTCTCCAGCCCCAGCTTGGTGAAGATGCCGACCAGAGCCATGATGGCCACCACGCCGCAGATGATGTAGACGATCAGGTTGGTCTTGTCTTTGGTGCTGTCGTGCATCTTGTTCATCTTCTTGTAGGGCGTCTGGCCGGTCTTCATCCACACCGGCGTGTCGTAGTTTTTGCAGGTGCTCTGGTCCAGCCGCGACTGTTTCAGGGAGCAGCAGAAGCGGAAGCCACAGGTGCCGCAGCAGTACAGGTAGTCTCCCGTCTTGCAGACGAACGGCGGGTCCCACTGGCCCATCACGTCGTAGTAACCCCGGCACTGCTCCTCGGTGTGCGGCGCCTCCTCCGGCGCGCCGTCCTCCTCCCGGGACCCGTTGGACGTGGCGATCATGACGAACCCGCCGAGCAGCCCCGGCTCCCCGTCCGCCTTGCACACCAGAGCCGTGAGTTTGAGCAACAGGAAGGCGAGCAGGAAGAATCTTCCCCCCATCGCGCTGGCTTCCCGCCTTCAACTTCACGCAGAAACGAGCAAACCTGGAGCGACGCGGAAAGGCGCACGATGCTGGCGGGCGGAGAAGTCCTGCAGCGCCGCGCCGCCTTCCGACATTTTACCAGCAGATCCTCATCCAGACGGAAGAGAAAACAGGAGCGCGGATGGAGACCAGAAATGAAATCTCCCCGGGCTGAAGTGGAGTTTTGGGAAGTTGCTCCGCTGTACGTCCGTCCACTGCCGCCCTCAGCAGCTCCGATTGCGCGTTTTCAGGAGAGCATCCGTTAACATTCCCATCTGTGCGCTCTTACGCACAGAGTAGGCAGAGACACAAGCTACGGCCAGGATGAGAGCGCAGTGAGCGAATGGAGGAGCGAGGGTGGGAGAGCCTGGTGCGCAAAGAGAGGAGGAGGAGGAGGAGGAGGAAGAGGAGGAGGAGACAGGAGAGAGAGAGAGAGCGGGAGGAAAAGCATCGTAGTGAAATATTATCATAAAAGCCTGGAAATACTCATCGGGATCCAGTCGGTTCGGCTCCTCTGGACGTTTTACAGAAACTCAAATGTTCCGGAAAACCTGCAGGACCTTCCGGAACCAACCCGAACCCGATGTTCGGAAAACGGTTCAAAATTACAGATTCACAACATCCATTTAATTCCTAAATCAGTTTTTTTATATTTTACATTTTGATCAAATTTTTTTCTGAAGTTCAGCAGAATGTTTATTTTTTTTATTTTTTTATTCAGGCTTTAGGATAAAAAGTCATTTTCAAACCGGAACATTTTCCCTCCATTTAACATTTTCTGACTATTTAACAGAAGAAATCATAACTGAATATTATTCACACCTGTTTTATCAAATCATAAAAAGAAACGTCCACTTAGAAAAACAAAGCTGCATAAGGACTGAAGTTTGCTGAACTTTTAAAACATGGCAGTGGCAGAATCATGCTGTGGGAAGCTGTTTTACTGTTTAACGGTCAGTTTATTTTTTTTTCTGCTTTATGGTTTTTATATTTACTTCTGAGGTACTTTGTGTGAAAAGATGAGATGAACAGTAGATCAAAGTTCTGCAGCTGTCATGGCAACAACACGGTTCTGATGGTGCTGAATAAAATAGCATGCCACACTTTTCAGATTCTGACTTGTTTAATTTTTTATTCTGATTTACAGTTATGTAAAATTTATTACAGTTGTATTTTAGATATTATGGCATGGTTTAGATAAAAGCAGATTTGTATGTTAGAATGGCCTAGTCAAAGTCCAGACCTGAATTCAGCTGAGACTCTTTGGCAGCTCTTGATGCTAATCGTCCAATTACACTGATTTTCCCAACAAAGGAAAAATCCAGAGGTTCCTGAACGCCTCGTGTTGATCCACAGGAAGCGAAAAGAAGGAAGAAGATCTGGAAACATGAATCCCCTCAGAACCGCTGAGCAAACAAACATCCGGTCCACTTCAATCCGAATCCAGTCCGCTTTTCTATAAAGTCTGTTTCGGTTGCTGAGGTGTGAATGCTAACCGACCTCTGACCTCTGGTCCTCCAAACCTTGGTCTGGTTCAGTTTGAATGTGAACGCCAAGTGTACCAGAGACCGCTCTAGAAGCAGGAAGTGGACTACAGCGCAGGGGATTCTGGGTAAATACAACCAAAGCTAACGTGCTAGCCTAGCACTAGCAGCAGAAATGGCTGCTGGTCTTTAGCCTAAAGAGAAATCCTCCAACCGCTAAAATCCTCCATCTTGTTTCCATCTGGTGAAGAAGGAAGTTGCTCTCAGTGTCTTCAGAGGTTTTTGTGTCGTTTCCTTCAGTGGTTCTTGGTGCAGCGCCCCCACAGGCCAGGAGGGGAACAGGTTGGTTTGACTCAGAACCACAGCAGCTGGAGGTGGAGCAGATGTTCTGGTTCCAGTAGAACCGGGTCGACCGGACTGAAAGAACTGAATAAAGATGAACATCACACTTTTAAGATTTTAATGTTTCCTTCAAATTCGCGACCAAGAAGATAACCTGGTTTTTAATGTTTCACTGAAAAACGTTTCTTTGTCTTTGCTGGTGGGAAACGTCTCAAAGGATCCAGAGGATCAGATTTTTCTAATCATTTTAAGGTAACATGGCCGCTGTCCCTGGTTCTGGACGGGTCCTGGTTCTGTCCCTGGTTCTGGATGGGTCCAGGTTCTATCCCTGGTTCTGGACGGGTCCAGGTTCTGTCTCTGGTTCTGGACGGATCCTGGTTCTGTCCCTGGTTCTGGACGGGTCCAGGTTCTGTCCCTGGTTCTGGACGGTTCTTCTCGGGCCGGTCCTCCATCCTCGGCTCCGACCCGTTTCAGCTCCGGTCTGCAGGACGTCTGTTGGGTCACTCAGCTTATCCTACATGGATGTTTGATCGGCTCCAAATGAAACTAAATCAGGAATCACTGAGCATGAAGTGAAGCCTGAAACGATTGTGATCATTTATTGAAATAAATATCAACTAATAATCGATGAAGTGTTAACTGGGGCATACAGACTCTAAGGCAGTGTTTCCCTGCCCTGGACCTCAAGGCTCACTGTCCTGCATGGTTTAGACCAGTGGAGCCCAAAGTGGGTCCTGGAGGGCCTGGAGGTCCTGGAGGTCCTGGAGGCCCTGGAGGTCCTGGAGGCCCTGGAGGTCCTGGAGGTCCTGGAGTTCTGGCATCCTGCATGATTTAGTCTCTCCCTGGTTTAACACACCTGGATCCAATGACGGCTCGTTAGAGGCCAAAGGAGAACACTGACCTGCTGAAAAGGTTGTTACCAGCGGGGAGAGAACTAGAACATGCAGGATGCCGGGCCCCAGGCCCCCCAGGCCCCCCAGGACCGACCTTGGGCCCCCTGGTTTAGAGGATTCCCTGCTTTAATGTGCCTGGTTCAACTGATTGCCGTCCAGCAAACGCCTGATAATCAGTCATCGATTGAAATCAGCTGGACTGAAGCAAAGAAATACCTGAAACATGCAGGGCAGTGAGCCTTGAGGCCCAGGATGGGAAACACTGATCTGAGGAACTCCAGTTACCAGAAGAACATTAGGCCAAAAATGCAAAATGTATAAATACTCTGGATATATGGTGAAACACTTTGTGTAAATCTGTTCTACTCAGAAACCATCAGAACAATGAATGACTAAAATAAAAATAGTTTCAGCTTTGCATGAAAGCACCGACATGTCAACACAAAAAGCTCAGAAAAAAACTAAAATAAGTGAAGCTCAGGTAGAGACAGGAGGACATTTTAAATACAATTCTGACAGGGTCATTTCTTTCATATTTATTTCTTTTTGAAATATGCAGAGAAAACCAGAGAAGATATATTTCTAGAAGACGGATAAAGATCTTAAGGTCAGTTTCTGCTGCAGGGTTTGATCTTGTAAAGTTGGATTTAGATTATTAGCTGAGCTCCAGTAAATGTCAAACATATTTAACAAATATCATTTATAACATTTCAGACTTTCAATCCTAACTTTTGTCTCAAGATGAAATATACTCTTCATTTGTCAGCCCAGAAAAATCTTCTCCCATAATGCATCACTGGGTTTTACTGAGGACGTCGGAATCATTTTTACTTTCTAGAAAACATTTGAACAGAGTAACGGCTCCGATCATTTAAAATGTCTCGCTGACGTTCTGGTCCATTTCAGTCAACATGCTGGATGAGAGAAACAGAGCAGGAACCGTCTCCTCTGATTGGACGGCTTCACCTGGACAAGAATCTGCAGAGCCTGGACCCAGAGTCCAGCATCAGTGTCTGACCTCACAAATGCTCTAACGCAGGGGTCCCCAAACTTTTTCCTGCCAGGGCCACATAGCTGTTCCTTTCTCTGGTCGGGGGCCGGTCTTAGTTTTTGGAGAAAGAAACCTTAGAAAATTCTTAGTCGACGGGAGGGGAGGGGGGGGAATAGGGGCGCGACGACACATTCGCGCTTTTAGTTAGAATTTTACCCAGAATGCAAATGGAAAAAACCGTGAGTGAAACGGTGACTGGGACTGACTGGTATATATTCCATTGAGGGAAAGTTAGTTTCACATCTGCTCAAGAGCCCCCTGGTGGTTGAAGAAAAATCCACATATAAACCGGAAAATACAGTATATGAAAAAAAAACACTGAATGTTCTCTGGTATGAGGAGGCGGGCCGGATCCGGCATTGTTCAGGGGGCCGGACCAAATGACGTGGCGGGCCGGATCCGGCCCGCGGGCCGTAGTTTGGGCTAACGCATTAAAGACAAATAAAATACGGCTAATTAAAGTCCACATTTTACAGAAGCCCATTTCTGCAATGAAAAAAAAATCCAACAGGAAGTCATGATGTCGTTTTAAAGGCATAGTTCTGAGATTCAGTCATAATTTTGACTTCCACAGTAATAATTTTCACTTTTGAAGTCATAAGTGTGATAATCATAATTTTGAGATTCAGTGATACTTATGAAATACAAAGGCATAATTTTGACTTTTGAAGCAATTATTTCAACTTTTGAATTTTTAATCATGAGATAAAATGTCATAATTTCAAGATATAAAGTGATTATGTGATACTAATAGTTTTGAAATAAGTCATAATTTTAAGATTTAAAGTCATGAGATAGAAAGTCTTAGTTTTGAGATTTAAAGTCAAAATCATGATATATGAAGTCATAGTCTTGACTTTAAAAGTCATAATTTAGATTTTGAAGGTAATAAACTAAAAGCCACGCTGTTTCTAGGGAGGCTTTTCTCCAGCTGCTCTGGTATCTTTTAATCATGACTTTGAATCTTGTAATTCTAACGTTGAAAGTTTAAACTGTGACTTCCTGATGGGCTTTAATTGTTTTCTTTCATAGCGGAAATGAATTAAAGTCAGAATTGTTTGTTTTATTCTAAATAGTGTTTTAAAGGAAACAACCTTTCCTTTTATGGACCAGCTGACAGCCGCAGTTGAAGTCCGAGCCTGATCACCAGGCTGAGTAATCGATCCTCGATAAGCCTGTCAGCAGTCAGACTGCTGAAGCAACGCAGCAGGTTAAACGGGTCTGGATCGGAGTCAGGCTGACGGCAGCTCTGGAAGTTCGGCAGTAGTTGTTTAGTTTTCTGGGACAGCAGCGGAACCAGCAGCGGAACCAGCCGGAAACATGGCGGACACAGAAGAAATGTTCCTCCGAGCCAAACATCGGACTTTCAGTGGACTGACTGAAGGTAACCCCCCGCCTGTAGCTAGTTCCTTTAGCTCGAGCTAAAACTACCATATGCTCTGACTTCACTGCTGTTTAAATGTTCTGCGGCTTTTGTTACAACTTTTTGTCACTGTTGTCATGGTAACAGTTAACTTGCAGCCAGTCCTTGGTAAGAAGTCGGATCTATTTAGCTTATTACAAGGACGTGTTTCTGGCGTTAATTTATTAAACTTT